GATTCCCATATTATTTTCGCAGGGGTGGGCCGCCGGGGGCGCCGCGAGCGGCCAAAAAGCATCTCTCTCTCCCCCGCGGCGGGCCAACGCGCTCATGCATTCCGCGGGTCTGTCTGACATGACACGTATCCGTCCGTCTTGTCAGTCCCACGGCAGTCCGCCCGTCTGTCTGTCTGCCCCGCCGCCGTCGGGCCGACTTCACACCTCGGCGAGCGGTCGCTATGGCCATAAATGCGCCACACGGCGGCGGCTGCAGGCGCCATCGCAGATCGCCCTGCAGCTCCGAGGGTGTACGCCGCTCTGCTCCGCCCCGCCCCGCCCCGCCCCGCCCCGCGCCGCCCCGCCCTGGGGCACAATTACACGCCGTGACGCCGGGACACGCCGCGCCATGGCGCTCGGTTCGCGGAACAGTGTGCATAAACCCTTTACAACGCGGCTCGCCATCCTGCGTGATTGTCCTGCTGCTCGCCGGGCTGGGGCTCCCGGGGCGGCTGGGGAGCAGGCAGGCACTTGCAGTGCTTGCAGGGCGGGACGACGGGTCCGCCCCGACTAAAGCGCCGTTGTGATCCCCCGGCAGCCTGCAGCAGCAGAAGCAGCCCCCCCACCTGGAGATCGACCTGCCCCACGGGCCGGCCGCGCGCGAGCAGCGCGCTAGAATTATATTGGCAATAAGGCAGGAAACAGCGGAAAGAACAATGGCGATTGTGTGTGCGCGACGCTTTGCGCGACGCTCCACAGCCGCGGCGCGACGCGCGACGCCCTCGCTATCCTGCCGGCCTGGACTCACCTGGACGTCGGGAGGGAGGACGGGGATGTGAAGGCGCGGCGGCGGTGGTCCGCCCTCGGAGGACGCCGCCGGCGATGCCCCGGACGACGCCGCCTCCAATCACCCCTCTTGGCTCTGCTGTCAGCTGCTGACCGGCCATCCAATCAACTGGCCGCCGCCGCCGCGTGGAAAATTTTGAGGTTGGAACGGCGCCGGCGCGCTAGCTCTAGCCCGGCTCTTCTGTGTTGTCGTCGAGCCGCGGGAGCAGGAGGTCATCACTGGATTTAGTGGAAACGGAGAGTTTCGTCTCCGACTCTCTTACGTCTTTACTCGCAAGGGATGGGAAAACAGATGGACAAGAACTTGAAACTTCTCGAAAATGTTCACACCACGACGCGCATTCGTACGCTCGACTATCAACTACAGTCGCCTCACGGTAACGAGTAGTAACCTGGCGGAGCAATACCCGTACGCAGAAATTTCTATTAAAGTGTCCAAACGTACTTTCTTGTAACAGCAATTGTCCAGTGCACAACGATAAAGTTTTGTCAATTATTTTGTATTCAGTTTACAGCCGTGCGATGGTTAAATTAGAAGATAATCCATCACGATGGTAAGGACTATTTTCTTGACGCGCAATGTCAAAGATACACGTAAGGTATACTCCTTGTAGTGAGACGACTGTTTAGTGTGTGACAAAAATGAACAATCTACCGCACGCACTGTGGGTGGCGTTAATGTCACCCCCGTGGCTGCGGGAGGGCCGAGCCTGCGTCCATGTTCGCCCGGTGTGCCCTGCGACGCGACCGCAGTCCCCGAAAACAAAAGTAAAACCCAAGTATTACCGCAGCAATGAAAAGCTCAGCTGATGCTGCAGCTGGCGGTGCGGTGCGGCGGCGGCGGTGGGAGAGTGCAGGAGGAAGGGGGACTCCCGGGAGGAGGCTCGTTTTACGAGGTCCACGGGGGGAACGGCGGCGGCGGCGGTGGCGGCCGCGGTGGCGCGGAGGGAACACACCACGCGTGTGACCGACACAAGTCCTTGCACCCGTCGTCGTGTCGGCGAGAGATCACGGGGCTGCTGCGTCGGCGCCCTGCCCTGCCCTCTACAGCGGGAGCCCCGGGGGCGGTGGAGAGCCTCCCCCGCCGCCCCGCGGCGCGCCCCGCGCACAGAGCCGTGCGCTTTGCCGCCGCGCCGTGCCGTGCACACAAGGCTCAACCTTCACCTTTCCCCGCGGTCCCTAATTCGCGTCCGCGTGAGTCACAGCTGGTCACAGCCGCTGCCAGGAGCCGCGCGGGCTGCGTGCACCCTCTGCCCCCCTCCCCTCCTCCTGACCGGCCACCCCCCATCAGCCCAGCCTGCGTCTCATTAAGCCTGTGTCCGCTTATTTTTAACCGCGCGGGAGTGCGTTCAGAAGCCTCCTCTCCTCGCGGTCCGACGGCCCGTGGACGGACGGCCGCCAGGCCAGGCCACAACGTCGTCCTGCTCTTCCCGGATCACCGCGCGTCCGGTCCGGGGCGCGAGAACAATCGGGGTATTTTCTTGCTCTTTATTTTCAAGGTGTACAGTGCGGCCACCTTGGCGACCACGGCGGCGGCGACGCGGTGCTCGGTGCTTGCGGGGGCCCGGGGGGCTCGGGCACCGCGTGACGGCCCCGGGGGAGCGGGGCGCGGCGGGGCGTTTGGATTCAGACGCTTTTAAACGCCGTGCATCGCGCGAGTCGCGGGGAGGGGGGCGGGGGTGCGGGCAGCGAAAGGTGAGTACGGCGGGGGAGGAGG